ACGGCCGTCCAGTGCTTCCAGGTTTCCCATGGTGGCCTAGTTTTATCCTATATGAATATTTACAAAGATTTGAGCTTACTCAAGATATCGTGTTTTTTAATCTGGAGTGTTGAAATTATCTTATTTGCTCCCTTTTTGACTAGGATACCTAGAGAAGTGACAGAAAATTCAAGAGTTCAATATCTCCGTATCACGTCAAAAACCCAATGTTTACGTATATTAGCATAAACATATGTTAAATTGACTTTCAGTGCATAAGACGCATCTCTGGCATGTTCTACTTATGTGGAAAGACATAAGTAGTATATAGCAGGAATTGGAAGTAGAATCCTTACCAGAAAAAGTGAAATAAAGCAGAGAAAAAAGGAAACGAAGAGTAATTGGAATAATAAAGGAATAGGATGAATGATGAAGCATGGATAGGACAACTGAAGAGAGATATATAAATGATGTACTTAATGTATGATTTTCACATTTTATCAAGGCACTCTCTTCGTTCACTATACTACACACTACATCCAGTGTACTTCAATGTAAGTAAATATATATTTACCATACGACCACATCCTTCGATCACCCAAAGACATAACACAACTAGTATTACAGACAATGATAATTCTACGCCACCACTTTATAGCACACAAATTACAGAGTTACTTGGTAAAATAGAAAAACCAAATAGTAAATCGTTAATTTGCAAAATATCAATCCATCATATCAAACCGGACCGTTGCTGTTGCAATCATCAATCCATTGTCTCACATTTCATCGTTCATGCGTTTTCCTACAAATTGCATTGTGTTCCCTCTCTTTCTTTCTTGATCATCCCCCATCTTCTGCTGCCAGACATTACGTTTTGAACTCGCGTCATATACTTATATCAATATAAGTAGCACACACCCCAGAAGTACTACGACCAGAAGTTTGGTAATTCCTTATGATTTCTTTAAACTTTGTAACTCTTTATTCCAATTGCGCGAATAGTATTATTGTTGTAATTCTATCATTTGCTAACAATAAGGGCATTTGGAGCTGGAATAATTTTATTCATCAACTGTTAGAGGATCTATTATCCGGTTTCGGAAAACTGAAAAAATGTTAAGAGAATATTAGTTTTTTTTAGCTTAAAACATTGAGACTCATCTTCTAATTAAACATTTACGAACACGTTGACAATATATACAGATTGAGTCTTTGTTCTAAGAAGTAAATTTTAAGAAAATCGACTATATGAACAGCTTCAGATAGACAGTGTAACTGTGGTGCGTGCTACTTATATTGATATCAGTAGTATATGACGCAAGTCAGGAATGTAATGTCTGGCAGCAGAAGATTGGGGAAGATCAACAAAGCAAGAATGGGAATAGAATGCGATTTGTATGAAAATGCAAGGACAATGAAGTCTGAGGCATTTTTCAAATTAACAATTTAATATATTGTTCTCAGATCTTATTGAGATGCTCTGTAATTTTGTGTTAAATATATTCGATTGTTCCCACCCGTGTTCTTTTTCACTACATAACGACTACCATCAACTCCAGTTAGTCGTTCAATTATATTCACTTGAAACTTGTCTTCATCTACCAGTCTTCAAACAATACTACTTACTCTTTCATCTCAAACCTTTCATACTTTGTCTCACCGTCTTAAAACCTACACAATAAGGGAGATATTCCGTTGATTACAAAAACCTATACAAAGGTACCTCAGAGCTTCCTCGTTGATGACTTCTTGTTTGTAGTGATTTGTATCATCTTTAAAATATCAATATTGTTACCAATGAATAATTAAAATACTATCCTGAATCTGTTTAGATGATTGTCATTCAACATTCAATTCTTGAACTTTTCAAATTCAAATTCAAAGCTCATATATCTCTACATTCAATATTATAGTTATTATCATTTACTTGACACATTTTAAATGTTCATATATTTTTATTCTCAGTCATCTAGAATTCCTACTTAAGAAATAAAATTTCTACTATACATACTCAATTGAGTTAATCTTACAGATTGATTTTAATTTTTGCAATACAAACATGATATCATGTACAAATTTCTGTTAAATGCTTCATATATGGCATTAATTAAGATTTTCATAGCATTAGTATTACTTACCTTCAAGTAGATTCTCATACTACTAGTAAACCATATTTTATAATATATAATGCAAATCTATACTACTTTGATGATGCCACAGGTATTCGGAGTTTGACATCGCTTCAACCAGTAACACCTAATATGAATCGTACCCACCAAATAAAATCAAAAGAAAGAAGCGAGGAGGTTCAAAGATATATTTGATAGGCTATCAATATATCAAGGATCGTCTGATCTAATCTAGCTAGCGATTGCAGAGGTTGTTGTGCTATTTATTTTGGGGGTTTAATTACAGCTACAACTTTCACTTTAAAAAAAGTAGGAACAAATGTATTTTTTTTAAATGTCGTGATACATTGTAAAAAAATGATGATTAGTTAATATTCTCGTATGATATTTTGTAGTATCCGTATTGACTTAGGATTCTGTAGTGGCATTGAACAATAAGCGCACAATCCACAAAGCTGAACACGAGACTACTCAGAAAATAGATATTCAATATTTAACGCGGATAAATACCTAACAATGGAGAAGGCGCGAACAAGGAATTGAATGGACTGGGTTTGATCGGATGGTGTGGCTCGTCCATGCAGGCGTAGTCCATCTCAATGTTATTTTATATCTTCTATTCATATTAAATATATTGTTCTTTCTCTAGCCTAACCTTGTTTTACATCATGTATTGGTAATTGATACGATACAGTGAGTTGGTGTAGTCGATGGTGTGACTTCCACGTAAGATCTTATAGATTAGGCAGTTATATCATGACAAATCTACAAATTTAGGATTAGGTCTATTATGAGAGCAGTACTAATATCATAGTAGACCATAATTCTACAATTCCTTTTACTTGATTGTAGACTTATTAAGAATTTAAAATATAATACGTTCAGAAATGTTCATCGAATTCTACCTACTCTAAATTGTACTATTTCGGGAATTCTTGATTAACAAATCAAGTCATATACTTCTAATGATCATATATTTACATAAATAGCTAGAATGGTGGTTGGAGGTAGTCAACAGGAAACCCTGGACTTAGGTTTCGAGTTACTTGGCACTCGTCAGCAAGGTGTACCTGTTATCTTGAGGGAACTAGTTCTCCCTGACGGATTCCCTCCAGTGTTACCAGGTTTCACAGTCAGGGACGATACCACTAGGCTATCCGGGCTGCGACTGACCTCCTGTAAGACTGAGATGTATTCACGATTGATTGATCACTGAGTGGTGGTATCCGTAAAAAAATCGCTCAGGGATATGTATATACTTCCTTCACAAGACAATCCAAATACTCGAACAATACCTTGCGTCTGTCTTCGATGCATAATTATGGCAAGGCAAAATTTTATGACATATAAATTAAAGGACGAAAAGAAGAGTAAACATTCCTGCACTATGGGGAGATAGTACTGCCGCATCATTGGTGAGGCTCAAGTGTTCTCGAACTACTTTAGCAGTGTATACACCATGGAAGCACCCTTCCCGTCAGTGCATTCAAATCTCCCCATGCATACACTGGATAGCTAGGCCATTAAAGAACTCGATGTCTTTGGTCTGCTAAACAAGCCTGACATGGATAAATACACGGGGCCCGATGAATTGAATCATAGACTACTGAACGAATTACCTAACTTCGTTGCGAACCCTTAAGTCTTTAATCTATCTGTAACGCTGGGTCGTGTACCGACACGTTAGCTTAACTACAGTGGTTTTTAAAATCTTAGAAAAGATTATTCGGAAGGAGCTGTTTAGGTACCTCGATGAAAACTGGATCCTTTCGGAGAAACAACACGGTTTCAGAATAGGTTATTCTCCTCTCATTAACTCATTAGTCGCTCGTGAAAGCTGGTGGGCTATTAAGGACCAAAAGTTACATGTAGATGTAGCATAAATTGATTGAGATTATGAGCCGATTGATATTGGATCACCACAATTGAAAACCTGGAAGCACTGGACGGCCGTTTCGTCCTATTGTGGGACGCCTCAGCAATGCTCATCCACGATCCCTCCCGCGCGAACGCTTAACCTACTGGACCACTGAGCCGACATCCAATGGTGATAGTTTCTTACGACAACCAATCCACGAAATTGCGCAACCAACTTCCGTTGTACTGAGGTAGATACCTGTCTCTACCCAACATGGATTAGCTCCACTGGTCACGGCTTCTCACTAGAACTCCGAGAATTCCCTCACGAAGCTAATCACTAGTGAGCATCAATCGGTTCATGATCTCAATCAAAAACTTAATAATCTCCACAACCCCTATACTAGCATACGTTGATTTCTGCAAAGCTTTTGACAAAGTTCCACATAACCGGCTGTTATATAAGCCAAATATTGTCTGAATTGGCTGCAATCTATTGATGTGGATAAAAGACTTCCTGGTTGGGCGCAAACAGAGAGTAGGGATGAACTCAAAGTTATCTAGCTGGGAAACTGTGCTTAGTGGAGGTTGGATCAACTGAGAAACCACCTTTGCCAAGACTAACACAGGCCATCAAGCCTCCTGTCCTTTCCAAACTGAAACTGATACAGTTTTTCCCCCACAGAAAAAATGTCTCGGAGAGTGAAACAGAGAGAACTGAAATAAACACTATGAAATAAATATTTCGGGGAAAATTTGATACTGAAATAAGAGGAAAGAAAAGGAATTACAAAAGCTGTGAGCTACCTGAAATCTATTTCCATAGAAATAAAAATTGGTTTTAAAAAAAGTGTAGTTGGTGGCCACCAAGAATTCCCTCAAGACTTCAAAAATGAAAATGTCACAATAAGGTCCGATATTTGCAGTTCGAAACATTTCTAATTCCTCATTTGTTCTTCTGATGCAACGTGCAGTATTCTCATTATCGATGAAACCGCGCTATAATTAGTCTCAAGGTCTGGGTTCTTTCGAATGGATAGTTTAGTAAGTACATTGTTTGTCATCGTCTTTCCAACTTCCAGCTCTTAGATGTAGTTTCGGCAGCAAAGTTTGGATTCAACCTGTATATAGACCTCTTGTGTGAATACAATTTTTCTGCCCTAATAGTATCATCTATAACCTTTATGCTCATTTTGTCAGTTTTCGGTAAGTGATGGTTACAGCAATTATTGTTAAGAAATATCTGATGGCAGGCTTGTATGTTCCCTTTTTGCCTGTGTGAGAAAGACCCCTTTCATAAGATCGTACATTAATAAGAAGATAGATGAAGCTTCAAAAGAAATACATAAGGAGGTTCATAAAAAAACCTCACATATTGTATTTGAAAAGAACCTTCCTATCTGCGGACAAACTGTGGTAATCCATACTATAGTAATCTGAATTTTTTTAGGAGAATGTACTCTCAAGTGCCCGGAAGTATAAAACATTGGGTTTGTTCATAACATGCAGTTGTAGAATGTATTATAGAATATATAAAGTGGAACGAAGGCTTTGTTTCTGGAAGCGTTTACCCAAGAGATAATGCTCTTACGGTTTTGTGCACGGATGTAAGTTACCACTGATTATACACTGATTAAGACTTTTTGTCTACTTTAAATTTTATTGTGTACCCAAGCTTTCAGCTTTATTGGTCATAGCTGTAATTAAATCGTGATAAAAGACACGTAAGCATTCGAAAGAGCACTCTTCTGACCATGTGTAGTCGCACTTTTGAACTGTAAGTAATGAAGAATAACTTGATAGTATGCTCCCTAATCCGTGTAGAAATAATATAAATCACTAACAACCACTTACATTGTCTAAACCTTGCGTTCACTCGTGATTGGAAAGAAGCTTAAGGGCATCATCTATGAAGAGCATTTCCCCCTTTAGGAACTCTAAAACTGGTCTCTTGTGACTTGTATGGTTATTGATCTCAATTTAATTCCTTTGTATAATCTATAAAAACTACGTAATATAACCAAACCAAACTAATGATTTTATAGGTAATTATATTTCCACTTTGTCAGGTATAATTGACAAAAGTGGTTTTAACTAGCCTTTAGTCTCTTCTAACAGGGGATTACGATGTCGATCTACTCAAAAACTCGAAGACAAGTAATATCACTTTCAACTACAAATCAATCTTCAAATGATGTCTAGACTTATCTACTCCCTTTGTCAACACTTCACAGCATACGAATGTTTACTACTTTGTAAAACAACATTCACACCTATCTATTATCGCGTTTAAAGATAAAATTATCACAAGTAATTATCATGGTTGGGAATCTGCTAATTGTTTGTTTAAACGAATTATGATTTTATAAAAGTTTCTGTGTTTAAAATATAATATTTAAATTGTTTTTTACACTAATATTCTCTCAGTATACTAAAACTGTTCGGCTTCTCGTCACTTATAACAATGTGCTTATATCCTCATTAGTTGGAAAAATCAAGTGACTTTTAACCATCAAACAAGTATACTACGTACTTTTCTATTTTACTCATTCTTTAGTATTGGTAAATGCATCTGTCATTATAATCCGGGACTTTTCAGCAGTGTGAGCCCACAACCTCTATAGATATCGAACCTCTTGCTTCTATCTATCGCATTAAGTGTATTATCTTTAGACTACAAGGTTGAAATTCAATAGTCGACATATCTTACATACATTTATAATGCAGCACGACAACCACCCAGTATTTTTAGTAGTTGCCACACATCCATCAATTAAACCGTAAAAACTATCTTCAGATTTAAGTAAGCCCCACCAACCACCACACAAAGGTCTTGTTTCCGGTCTTCTACTTTAAGAAAAAGTGCCAAATTTATCAGACTGAAGTTTTAGGTCCTTGGCCTTTTCCTAAACAAATCTGTTTTCATTATGTTTAAATCTCTGACTTGATAATATCACGAAATTTCCGTACACTTTTTTATTTTTCTGTGCGTAAACTTCTCTTACTACAACCGATACTGTTACTCCTAATACTCTGAAATTTGTATTAAAATAATTTTGCCTTGGTGTACCAATGTGATATGCCAACTTGAACCGATGCACAAACGTGTCAGGTTCCACTTTGCGTACGTTAATGATGACGATGATTAATAATACCAATTTTGATATGCTTTCCACTATCTATTCCGTGTTCAGATCTATAAGGAATTCCTCTGGACAAATCCATTACATCCGGAGCTTTTTGTTGACATTCGACGAATGGAAGCTGAGGTTGTACGTATGTGTGTTACAATGTTCCATGGAGATAAAGATGCATGCGGTACTGTAAGTTTAAGTTATTTCAAATTCATTGAATTGTATGTGCATTAAAACCTACTAGTGTGATTTTTATGACTGTTTGATTGACTTAGCTGACATGTGATTACCAACATAGTTTATTTGTGGCACATAAGCCTCACATCATAAGAGTATATTTCAAAAGACAGAACTACTAACGAATTGGTTGAATATATGCGAATGTATATTATGAAATCAAAGATACTATTTATACAAAATACGTTCACCTGAAACAGTATAACTATGGATTGCTAGTTAATTAACAAATAATCCATTACAAATGCTGAAGAAGGATCACAGACTAACAAAACTTCATTTCCACATATTGTAACAGACATATGACTCCTTTAAGGGTAAACATTATCATACTCAAATATGCGTCAAAGCACAGCAATACGTATGTTTCTATAGTATGATACCTTATAAACAGTTGAGATTGTTTAGTGAATAAGAGTGAAGTCTTTCATTTGACCAGATACCCCGGTTTTTTTAATGCAAACATCGATACAAGGAGATACCAAATAGATATGTGCCACACTTTGTCATTCGATTTTTGTGTGGACTAAAAGACTTCTTAGGCACCCAAACCGAAGCAGATGTTTTTCTTAAGAGGATACTTCCCGAGCCTTTGACCTAGAGGTCTAATCCACAAAGCAGTGGAGCAGCGTCTTGGAGATGCGGTCCCACGGTAACCGGTGATCAATAGTAGGTTCACACGCCATCTGTACTCTAGGGATCCTGGAGCCCATGTGAACCATTAATTTGTAATCAAGGTTTGCCAACTCCCCTAGTTGTATCCTCTGTATCCATCACCCGGTTAAAGCACCGGACATTCGCTTTCCATCATCACCTCAATTTCCTAAACAACATCATCACCCCTAGAAGGCAGTGAGTAAGTCTTTCTTGACAGTGGTTGTATACTTCAGTCCATGTGAGAGCATTTCGAGAGTGAGAGCTGACTCCTCACGTTCGGTCGTACTAGTGCATTTGCGGCTCTACGTCGCATTTGTTCCCTCTTTAGGATCCATGTACATACGACCTCATGGACAAATGATATCAGAAACTCATCAAAATTCTGATGTTCATTACGTCATAGAACTAATTCAAATAATCTGTAAATTACTGTTAGTTGTATTATATACTTTAAAAGTAGTAATAAGATGTTTAAGAAATTAAAGTAAATATGTTTTTCAACATCAACATGGACAACGTTTTGTGATAAAAAGAAAACCTGATGTGAATGTTCTATCCTTGAAAGCATTTGGTATATATTCTGTACTAGACGTAAAATCTGTTTATTCGTTCAATTGTTTTAATATCTGTCAGACAGCTACAACGTAGAACCAGCCACATATATGCATCGGTCTAAGTTGTCATACCTCATTAGTACAAGATAAACACCGAACTCATATAAGCAATTACTTCAAGAGTAGTAAAAAAGATTTAATGTGAAAATATGATACAGGGAGGAAGAATTAGTTCGGAGGAACAAAGATATAAATTAATTTTAATCTCACGGTTTAAGGGAAGAGAAAGTATATACACCTACGCCATTGTGATTGATTCTGAGCCATGTCACCCAGAGTTTCCAACAACTGATTACAATAGTCACACCGACCCCAACCAAGTAGTCTGCATCTACCAACATGGCTCGGGTTAGAAGTTAGTGACTTTATGGACCGGTGCTACGTTTTGATTTCGCCACCCCTAACTTTTTTGCAACCGTCTCCAACACTAGTCAGCAATGTGCGCAGTAGTAATAGACGGGTGAGCATGCGTATTACGTGTCCAAACCATTTCAGTCTATGGAGATTCTCAACCTCATTAACTGATTTACCATCATTCCATAATATTCTGTGTCCAACCTCAATATTACTTACCCTGTGATCCCGGAAGATGGGAGTAATATTTCCAAAACATCTGTAATCAAATACTAGTAAGTTATGAGTGTCCTCTGCCCTAAATGACTACGTTTCTGAGCCTTGAAGTAAAAGAAAACGAAATAATCTGCAGCATAGTCATCCCTTAATTGATAGACGAATATCTCACCATCTCCATAGGTGATGTATGTTTGCAGAAGCCAGGCGAGTTTTTTGAAATTTCGTCAGACACCAACCCATTAAAGCTGGTCACAATTCCAAGATGGGTGAAATCGTCGACGCGTTCGACCACTTCTTTCCCTATTTTTAGTTTAGGTATCGGCGCAGGCCAGTCCTGAAGCTACAATTTGTATTTAGAAGGCGAGAAATGCATTCCAAGCACCCAGGCATTGTCGCTGAATGCTACCAAAAGACTGTTTTATCAGCGTCTTCACCAAACAGTTGACCTCCTGGAAGGAGATCAGTTTCTGAAAATTCGGACGATAAGAACGTTATTTCCATCAGTAGATTTATGGTGGAATTAAACGGAGATGGCGGTAGTGGACAGTCTTGCTAGACACCACATGAGGTTGCAAAATCAGATGATATTTCACCATAGGCTCTGACTTGACTGGTAGTGTTCGAGTAAATAGCTTTCACAAGGTTCATGTGCTTCTGAAGTACAACTTTCAGTAACAGACACTGCCACAGAACCTCTTGGTTTACTGACTCAAATGATGCTTTTAAGTCAAGAAAAACTATCATTGTCGGACGCCGATAAGCATGCCTATGTTCTAGAACCTGGCGAATGGTGAATGTGTGGTCGATGTAGCCGCAACTAGACCTGAAGCCAGCCTGGTTTCCTCACGTTTGCAGTTCACGAGTCTTAGTTAGACGTCCGATAATTATTGAGGCTAGTATTAGTAAAACTAATCCCACCATGGTTGTCACAGGATGATTTAGACCCCTTCTTATATACTGGGACAATCAGTGATTGTGAGCAGTTAGATGGGATAACGTCCAACTCCTAGATTTTAGCTAAAATATTAGTCAACCTAATCGCTAAAACTGGACTTTCATCTCTAAAAATCTCTATAGTTAATCCATCTGAACCATCTGCTCTTCCTTGTTTCAGATTAGTTATGACATTTTGAACTTCAATTATAGTCGGTAATTGTGTGTAGCTGTAGAGTAGCTAAAGGTCAGCTGAACTGCTCCTTAAAATGTTCCACCCATCGTTCTAAACGTCTGGGCTGAGAGTAGATAAGTGTCGTCTTTTTTCTGAGATCGTCTCACTTACACTTGACTTCTTAATTTTGGTTTCTTTTATTGGTCTGAAAAGCTGTCTGGTGTTACCTACGGCCGCTGCCTTTTCCATCTCATGCTTTCGTTGCCCACCGCTGTTCACGGTCGTTCCGTAGACTTTTAGCTACCCTTGGTCTGATTTGTTCTCGCTTGTCATCGTGCTCGTAACCTGATGGAGTAAGTTTACGAAAATCTATCAGTGCAATAGATGTCGTAGAAATCCACTGATTTTTCACGACCCTTTGATTAAAATCATCAATAGATGCCACCGCTATTTCCGCAACTGTTCGTATATCTTACCAGGCAATATCTGGGTCATCCTCGTTTTCAAAATTGCCTAGGTGTGACCTTAGTTGTTCCTGGTATTTACATTTAGTCTTGTCATCACTGAGTTCAATTCTAATCAGTTTTCTTAATGTGTCTTTTCTTCGTCCACTGAGGTGCAAGCAGATGCGTGCTAGTATTCGGGCATGATCAGAGTCCAAACATGTATTCCAGAACGAGCAGCAATCTTTTATCGAACCCCTCCAACGATGACCGATGGCAATATGACCTATTTGAGTCCATCGTTAGTTTGTTGCGGGGGGTCGCCATGTTAGACGATGTCTTTTTATGTTTAAAATTAGTGTTTGTTAGAAATAAACGATTGTCTGAGCACAGTTTCAGCAGACGGTCAACATTATCTGTTCACTGAGCCGGAAAACCGAAATACCCACCTAAATGTTTTTCTCTTTGGCTTAAGCTACCTACTTGGGTATTAAAGTAGTCACCTGCTACAAGCACTATGTTCAAGTGCTTAGTTTTTCGAAGAGGTTCAGAAAGCTTTCTGTGAAATTCATCTTTCACTTCATTCGGACTGCAGTCAATGGGAGCGTAGGCAGAAATGATGAAATATCAACGACGTGTGTCCATATCCTTCCGAGTTCTTGTGGAACTGTTTAGCCGAACAGCACATAGGCGACTGTTAACAGGGATCCACTCTAAAAGTGCTTGTTCCGCTTTCATACCTAGTTCCACGCCTACACCCGACAGTCCACGAGAAGTTTCCGTCGGGTCGCCAGATAAACAGAGGGTGTATGTCGTCGGCTTCCCGTTTTCGCTAAGTCAAATGGATGACTACGCTAGGATCCTGTATGTGTCTTAGCCAGGGAGGCCTGTCGGTTGATTTGACGTATGGTACGCACATTAAAGGCTTCAATGTATAGTTCGGAGGTAGGTTTCAGTAGACTTGGGACAGTATTTCGCGCACTAGACTCGTTGGCCATAGTGACACTTGAGGAGGACGTTTAGGTTTGATAGTCCAAGTAGGAGGGATAATAGGAATCTGTTGGGGACGATAGATCCCCAAACTCATATTTTAAATTTTATCACATCGATCAACTTATGGATTAAATGTTTAAATATTTGTATTGGGGTCAATTGATGAACTGACCGATTAAATGTTTGAATAGCAGTCAATTGATGAACTATCGATTAAATGCGCAAATAGGTCAATTAATGAACTCATTGATTAATGTTTAAAATTTTTCTATGACAATATCGATTGTAAATAATTGTATAAATACGCTTGACTTGTATGCTTGATCTGATCTGCCTGCCTGACTTGGTATCTGCTGTTGCTTGTAGAATACACTTTCTACGCCTTACCAAGACTTCTTGATCGAGTTAGCTGAGTCGAAGACAACGGACCAGAATAGTTTATTGAGTCTCTGAATCCTGAGCCTTCGTTCCGTTCCGAATAAGTCGAATCAGTAGTATCCTCAAGGTTAACGAACCTAACAATTTGGCGACGGTGGTTTTGGAAACATGGATCCTTCTAAACTTGAATTATTACTCGAGCAGCAAATGAAACTTATTCAGATGTTAGCGGATACAAAGCTTACGTCTAATACTCGACCAAGCAGTTCTAATCCTACTACTACTGCACCATCAGTTGATGGTATCGCTAACAGTATCTCCGAGTTTCATTACGATGCAGAATCCAATGTCACGTTTGATATGTGGTTTCGACGTTACGAAGACTTATTCAAGTTCGACTTTGCTAATCAGGATGATGCTTGGAAGGTCCGCTTGCTGCTTCGAAAGTTGGGTCCTAATGAACTAGACAGGTATTGCAACCTAATTCTGCCTCTAAACCCACGCGATCGCTCATTCTCGGACACTGTCCAGTCATTGAGCCAACAATTCGGAGACAACTCCTCACTATTCAATGCGCGTTATCGATGTCTGAAGCTCACTATGAACGAAGACGCTGATTTTCTCACACATGTGGGTATCGTTAACCGAGAATGTGAACGCTTCCGGTTGAAGTCGCTTACTGAAGACCAATTTAAAGCACCCATTCTCATCTGCAGCCTTCAATCGCAGAAGTTCAGTGACATTAGAACACGTTTGCTAAGTCGATTGGACCAAGATCCAAAACTAACCCTTGATGATATTGCAAACGAATATCAACGCCTAATCAATCTACAGCGTGACACTACGATGGTCTAGCGTGGTGGTTCAGATCGTACCGAAGTTCATGTAGTCCAAGAACCACGCAACTCGCATAAATCTGCCTCAGCGACATCGAGTTCAGGTCAACAGACAAAAACAAATCCTCCTGCTCCATGCTGGCACTGCGGTGCATGGCATTTTGTTCGATACTGTCCATATAAGCAACATCGGTGCAGGAAATGTAATGCGGTGGGTCATAAAGATGGGTTTTGTCGAAAAAAGAAGCCGAGCAGCTCCAGAGGTACCAGAAAACCTACTAGATCCAACACGAATTCGTTGAGTCTAATAGCAAGCTGTGAGAACTCAACCCCAGTTGAGAGGAAATTTATTACCCTTAATATTAATGGGCACCCATTTAGATTGCAAATAGACACTGCATCTGATGTAACAATTCTCTCACGAAAATATTGGATCAGAATGGGAAGACCACGCATGGTTCCAACAACACAAAAACCTCGAACTGCATGCGGTAATTACCTACGTTTGTTGGGACAACTAGATTGTAAAGTGTCTTTTCACGATTCGACGTTTACCGGTGTCTGTTACATCACACCAGCTGATCTTAATCTACTTGGATTAGACTGGTTTGACCGGCTACATTTAGCTGACGTTCCTTTAAGCACAGTATGCCATCTGGTGAAACAACCTCATGAACCTGAAGCATATTCGAAAGAACTAATGACGGAATTTTCAACCATTTTCCAACCTGGATTGGGTCAGTGCACTGCTATGAAAGCAACACTTCGGTTGAAACCTGGAGCTAAACCTGTCTTTCGTCCAAAGAGACCAGTGCCGTACGCAGCATTATCGAAAGTTGACGAAGAACTTAACCGCCTTCAACTACAGGGAGTTATTACACCTGTTTCTTATTCTGCCTGGGCAGCTCCCATTGTGGTTATTAAGAAGGCTAATGGCACAATCCGAATATGCGCTGATTTTTCCACAGGTCTTAACGCAGCTCTCGAACAGCATCACTACCCACTGCCAGTCCCTGCAGATTTGTTCACGATGTTAAATGGTGGGAAGTTCTTTGCAAAGCTGGATCTCGCTGATGCTTATCTACAAGTGGAAGTGGCTGAAGATTCGAAAGAGTTACTTACCATAAATACTCATCGTGGCTTGTTTCAGTACTATCGCCTACCATTTGGTGTTAAAACAGCTCCATCTATTTTACAGTCGAATAGAGAAAGAGACTCTCGCCCTTGTGTTTGCAGTACGCCGTTTCCACAAATTTTTGTACGGTCGAAGATTTACTCTTCTCACTGATCACAAGCCTCTTCTCACAATTTTCGGTTCGAAATCTGGTGTTCCAGCCCATTCTGCAAACCGTCTCCAACGATGGGCTTTGATACTTCTGGGTTATTATTTTGACATTCAGTATCGGCGCACTCAACAGTTTGGTCAGGCTGTCACGACTTATCAGCGAACACCATACGGCCGGCGAAGATACAGTTATTGCCTCCCTGATGACAGAGGACTACGCACAGTGTTACCTGACAACTGCTATTCGTGCTTTGCCAGTCTCAGCAGTTGAAATACAATCTGTATCCAAGAACGACTCCATCATAAAGAGAGCGATGAAATACGTCACTAATGGCTGGCCGCCGAATGGACTCGATGGTGACTTGAAACAGCTTTACCACCGTCGGGACTCATTATGCGTCGTAAACGAATGCTTGATGTTTGGAGATAGAGTAGTGGTGCCAGAGTCCTTAAGACCAGAGGTGCTAAAGCAATTCCACACTGATCATCCTGGTATAAAACGAATGAAATCCATCGCCAGAAGCTATGCTTATTAGCCCCTCATGGACCAACATATCGTGGATTTAGTAAGCAAGTGCACACAATGTCAGCAAGCAGCTAAGTGTAACGCGAAAATACTACCAGTCCCATGGCCACAGCCTGAGTATCCCTGGTCCAGGATACATGTCGATTTCGCAGGCCCAATAAATGGAATCACCTATCTAGTCGCTGTTGACGCCTCTTCGAAATGGCCAGAAATTGTTCCCGTCATGCGACCAACGACAACCCAAACGACGCAACTTTTGACAGAGATGTTCTCCCGCAACGGGTTACCGGATATATTCGTTTCCGACAATGGTTCGCAGTTCACCTCAAGTCACTTTCAAGAATTTTGCAAACGCCTATCTGTCAAGCATTTCCGCTCTGCACCTTACCACCCACAGTCAAATGGTCAGGCAGAAAGATTTGTGGATACATTCAAGAGAGCTCTAATGAAGTCGAAAGGGGAGGGGACGACAGTAGAAACACTGCAGAATTTCTTGTTTGTTTACCGAACAACACCTAGTGATATGCTACCACAGCAGAAGTCCCCGGCAAAGATCCTGATGGGAAGGAAATCGAGGACGATCCATAGTCTGATGTGCCCAAGAACCACACCATCACCATCTCAAACCAAATCTCAGAAGCTTCCAGCCTACGAGGTCGGATGCCCGGTGTTCGCTCGAGACTACAGAGCAAATCATGGTCCTTGGATCGAGGCACGTGTGGTTGGAAGACTAGGCCAAGTTATGTACAATGTAAAGGTGGGAAGAGACACATGGACTAGACACCGAAATCAACTACGTAAGCGGATAGCCCCAGACCACCCATCAACAGGACTAAATCTTCCTCTCGACATCTTGCTTGATACTTTCAACTTACCGGCAACCCTACCACAAGAAAAACCCCAACAACAAGCTGAAACACGTCCCAGACGGTGGCCTATAAGAGAACGGCGAGCTACAGTCAAGATGCAGGTTGACCCCAGGAAAGCCCGCTATTAAAAAGGGGAGGAGTGTTGGGGACGATAGATCCCCAAACTCATATTTTAAATTTTATCGCATCGATCAACTTATGGATTAAATGTTTAAATATTTGTATTGGGGTCAATTGATGAACTGACCGATTAAATGTTTGAATAGCAGTCAATTGATGAACTATCGATTAAATGCGCAAATTTCGTTTGACTTATGACCTAACGTAGGTGTTTTTAACAAAAACATCTGTCCTATATTGGCTGACAGTTCGACAACGTCAGCTGACAGTTTCGTCATTCTCATATTTATCCTTGGCAATTGACAAACTAAGCTTACCGAACCCAAGTTGCACTGTTATTAGGCGTTGAAGCACTGGTTGATATTAGTGACTTCGTCTGAATTTGTATAATTCTATAAGTACAAACAAGTTTAAATTTGTGGAGACAAAACAAATGCTTGGCAATTGGAACGTTGGGAGTTTCTAACGATCTAAATTTGGATTGTTTTACTCGGATGTATCCAACTTGCATTTCTGCTACATCCAGGTCCACAGAATCATACAAGTAGTCTGACTTTTGCTTCATTACATCTCCAAAAAAATAACACACTCACCGTCTGGGATTATCTGTATGTTTTCATTCTGCTAGTTACTATATCCAACTATATTGGTAAACGACTAGAATAAAGTTCACAAGTAAGATTATCCTAGGCAAACAAAATTGGAAAAAAAGGCGATCTTTGGGAAAAGTCTTAAGAAAAAGTGGGTGTGATTATATGCAATAATGGATTATAAATATCTCCTTTTCCCTAACCCGGGATAAATAGTGCGTATTTTCCCCAAAATTTCCCCATTCAATGGAAATGTCTCGAAATTACCACTTTTACCTTCCTTAAAATATCTACTTTTCCCAAAAACTAGTAGCAATTTGTCTACCTTTCTCTAAAATTAACACCATATCTTCTAATCTTGTGCAGTATTAACGAGTTAAACAGTAAATTTTTAGCAAAGCTTAGTGTACTAGTACACTGTATACTTGGTGAATTCTTTTATAATTCTCTAGGCCAAACGAATTATATGCGTACTCGACAATGATCAACATAGTGGTTTAAGTAAAAACAATTTATCACAGACACAGTTGTCAACATCATTCACATAGGGGGGAACAGTGAAACGTCCACATCTCAAATGGCAGAAAAAGGTGTATTCAACCGTAATATAAAAAATAATTAATAAGAGGTTTACGTGCATAGATCCAGAAAGTTTCTTAGTTGAAACAAGATAGTTATGCATATCAACGTACACTTGCCACATTTAGTTAGTTTCAACGTACTCAATCCAAGTGAGAAGTTTAATGTGGATCCAAGAAACATTTACTGGACAAAAAGTATTTACACTAAGGGATAAGGTTAGGTGCACATTTTTAGGGTCGACACGAACTCGGGGCCTTTTCCGCAAACGCTTAATCTCTAACCTACTGAGCCATCATCCAACAGTGTGAGTATCTAACTTCATTCAGTATTCATAGTATTATTTCTAAATTTATTGTTTCTTCGTACCCATTAGACTACGTCAGGAGGAACAGAAAGCATTCTTCTTGCATGTTTGGCCTATCGTCAGCTTGCACGTGAACATGGTATCAAACATCCAAATATGTAAGCTTCATATACTAATTATGTAACTCATTTGCCGAGCACGTGCTCATGTACTTATCTTTAAGCCATATCGTTTGTACTTGATGGCTAGTAATAGTACATGAATTCCCTAACTGAAATAAATAGAGTGGGGATCTAGACCTACGATCTCAGTGATTGAAAATCAAATGCCCCAATCATTAACCTGCCTTTGTATACTTCCATCTAAAATACCTCCTTCATCTTCACTTTGGATAACATTTTTTATCTTCGTTTTACACTGTTGTTGACCTTTGAGGCAATTTGTTTTTAGACATTGATGCCATATTCACTTGGTATTGTTTAACTTGAATCTTCCCATTGATGTTTTTGGATTGAAATTGATCAGTCTCTTATTGGCATATGTGCATACTGTGCGTATGCCTCGATATTGCCTCGATATTACAAGCATTATAAGCAAAGATGGAAGCGAACGGTACTGAGTTCGAGTCCCAGAGTGAACGTCAAATCTGAGATGCAGGTACATCCAGCTGACGAGTCCCGAACAGGACGAAACACGCGTCCTGGATTCCACTGCTAGCCACTATCCATCTTTGCTTATAATTGATGCCATATGTCCGAAGTAATTCATTGGGTAATTTAGGAACTTAGGATTCAAGTAAACGCACTTAACACCATCAGGAACGATGTTCAACCATGCCACTCAATGTCTCTAACCACTATGCGGATCCCAACTCAACTTAACAGAATGTTGGCTGCAATCTGAATAGTTCATTCCCCTACCATATCTAACTGTGATACTGAATAATTCAACTTCAAATCTCTCTGGAAGAATAGGTTCCTTCAAGATTATAGTTCTGTTGACAAAGGTAAACTATTATGAAACATAGAACAGACAGGGCTTTTTATTTGATTACTTTCAATCACCTAACAACAATCTGTTAAAATTATTCCTGAAAACCATATGAATTAACTTAGAATTATATCAGTCATTAAGGTTGATTATTAATTTGTTATTATCAAAGCTGAGCTGTGCCAAAGCCTATACGGATATGTAGTTTGTTGTTTTGTACATTTTGATGATGATTTCAATCCTTTTTTAAAATTATTTTCCCTTATCACCTGCATACTTTGTAGATCAGATTGGTTCAAATGTATTGTTCCAAATTCTATATTTGAATCAGAATCCCGTCTGTAATTTGGTCTATTTCGCATCTCTCTATGTCCTGCGATTGAACCAATTACACGCTAAATCAGCTAAGTCCTTATTGGCCTATGGTACCTCAGTTTCCCTCTCTGCTCTGGTCTTGAGTCTAGAAGTCACCAACCAGCCTTTATCAAATTTCAAGCAGACGTAGTTTATATTTGGGCAACCTAGATCCCATCACACGATAATATATGAGATAACAATATATATGAACAAGCCCAAAAGTGGCTCTGGGTAGGGTAGACTAAATAAAATCTGGCAACAGATATTAGGAAAGGAAAATCATATAACAGTAATTAGTGTTTCAACAGAAAGCTTATGACGAAAGAAATATTGACAATAAGAATCCACAAATTAGCTCTAGAAGTAACCATTCCTTTAATCTTTGTTGTAATATAACGATTACACCATCCTTTGATATCCTTTAATCAATTGACATGATTATCAGGTTGTTTTATTCATTGGATTCCGAAAATTCCATCTTCAACAATAACTGTAGTATCACGTTTGTTTGTTTTTTTGTGGTCACACAAGATGCTTCAGTCGTTATCATATATTTATATGCTGTTAAATGTAACCTTTTTTAGTTATGATTTAAATTTTGATTCCGTTCACAATTTTACTTATAGGGTAATTCCGGTCACAGCTCATCCGGCATTTGATAAAGTATGCTTTGTTTTCCTAATTTTCATTGCTTCTGAAGTTCACTTTTGATGTTTATCTTACTTTATTTTATTATATAGAGGTATTGTCTTATTTCACAAGATACTGTAACAACTTTAAAAATAAATCTATTTTCACATTTTAAAACAATTAGGTTACAACTTATCACATACCTATCTCATCTAAACAACGATTGATAACTTCAAAGCTTTAGACAGTAGTTTCATCTTAGTTGTAAATGCAATTTAGTGACAGAGTTTTTATTTATTTATTTATTTTAACACATTGATATTGGTACAACGAGGCACCAAATACATATGCGCCATGCAGATCTCATTTGATATGTGTGAGTGCTGTGATACTGTCCGGGTGCCCAGACCGAAGCAGGTGGTTTTCTTAGGCGGCCACATCCAGAGCCTTCGACCTACAGGTCTGATCCACAAGACAGTGGAGCAACGTCAGGAGATGCAGTCCCATGGTAGCCGCTGACCAGCGATTGGTTCATACGCCATTTGTTCCTTCAGGATACTGGTGGTTTGGAATCAGAGTTTTCCAACTCCCCTAGATGGACTCTCCATGTCCGCCAACCCGGTTAAAGCGCCGGACGTTCGCTTTTCGTCCTCTCAATTTTGTAAACACCAGTAATGCCACGAGAAGGTAGTGAGCAGGACCTCCTTGGTAGAGGCTATATACACGTGGCCATGTGAGAGCATTTTGAGAGGGAGAGCTAACTCTCCTCACTCTCGGCCGTACCAGGGCGTTTGGGGGCTTATTTACTCTAAATAATTATATCCACCTTCCCAAACTGAAGTATATTCTATTTTTGAATTCATTAACAAAGGGTACACCCTCATAAACATATTATGGATTGAATCCTCAAAACATCCAAATCTGTTGAGTTCGAGATCAGATAGAAAAATATGTTTGTTACTCCCTAGTTTTCAATGATCATCTAATTGAATCAAATCAGCTCTTGATTTAGACTATCATCAATTTATCTATCTTGTTGAATTCTCTTACATTATTTTATTTAATAGTCCTATGATCAGGAATAAAATTGTTCACAAATCATTCATCTATTCAAATGAGCATAGTTTGTCACATCGTATAAACAGAGAGAATCATTAAAAATGTTAGAATATTCAGGAAAGAAATATATCTTTGGAATTAACCACTCACCACCATCATGACTGTACAGTAATACGCTATATGTTTAATCATTGAATATAAAATAAATGATTTTGAGTCTCCCTCAAATGTTGTCTTATTAGAGCTAACGCGACTTCTTAGGTTCATACACCTATTACCTGATATAATATTGTGATCTGTTACTAGTTTGATTAGTAAAAATAGATCAGCACTAATGACACATGTATTTGGTCCATCACTCAACGATCAATCAGTGTTAATATCTTAATTATATAAAATAATCAATCAAAAGCCTAAAAAAACTCAGTGATAATATCTCAAACTGGTACATTGGATAATTCATTCTAGGATCATACAAAGACTGATCATTAAGCACAATTGATTGATCACTGAGTGGCAATCAATATCATGCGTGTCTACTCCTTATTATTAGTGCAGATCGAATGCTATCGACCATGTAGCAATGTGGCCATCAGTCTAGGTGACTCGACATTGCGTGCACTATATATTGAGATTAGATGGTGGTTTGAGGTAGTCGACAGGAAACCCTGGACCCGGGTTTCGTGCTATTTGGCACTCGTCAGCAAGATGTACCTGTAATCTTGAGGGAACTGGTGCTCCCTGGCATCTCAGTCCTACAGGAGGTCGGTCGTGGCTCGGATAGCTCAGTGGTAACGTCTCTGACTGTGAAGCTGAGTGACACGAGATCTAGTCCGCCAGGGAGAACCTTTCCCTCAAGATTACAGGTACACCTTGCTGACGAGTGCCAAATAGCACGAAACCCGGGTCCAGGGTTTCCTGTCGACTACCTCAAACCACCATCCAATCTCAACTGATCATTAGTCCCATCAAAATTACATATAAATCCTAATAACAAGTACCAATTAACATAATGAGTTGACCTTTTTTCCAATCAATCTCAATACACACTCAGTTCATTTTCATCATTTGATTTTTGTTTTTTTACTTTTCACTTATCAAATTTTAGGCTGCACATTATTTTTCTATTAAAGTAATTCATGTTCCATTGGATCCTATTACGTATCAAGTAGATATGATTGAAATGAAATCATCAATAACCGATGATACATGTATGGTACGTTTATCATTCCTTGTTTCTTTGGCATTGTTGTTCTCTTTTACTTGAACAATCATTCTATTATTGTCACTTTTATTCTTCTTATTTTGATATTTAACTGTTTTCTTTATTTTATATTAGACTTCTTGTTTGAATAGCTATAGGAAAATCATAATTTATAATTGACACAGTTACATTTCTAGTTTACTTAACATTCTCTGATCTTATTCGCTACTTTTAATTTATATTTCCTGAGTTGTTGCTACCTTGACGTGGTGGTTGGACTTGCCTATCGTGATGAAGCAACCGAGCTATACTGGCTAGAACAACCGTTCCTCAAGGTCCTATCATGTCAGACAGGTCGGTTGAAGAACGGTAAGACTAAAAGCAACAAACCTAAGGTCCGAAGGCGAAGTCGTACTGCTGACTGTACAGAGTTGTGACAACAGTAAGGTGTTTCCTTTAGACAACCAACATAACAGCTATGTTGCCTTCCCACAAGGAAGGGTGAGGTTAGAAAAGGTCGACCCTAAAAATGCACACCCCACCTTATCCCACGGATATCCGTTTCCGGCGGTAAGGTCTCAACAAGTACGGAGCTAACACAAAAATTACCCATAAAAAGGTCGCGAGTGATTGACCTCAAGCAGTTGTCCCTTGGGCACTGCGGTCATGCTCTCAGGTCACTGAGACCGCCTCTACTCCAATTTCCTTTTCAGGCACCTCCCGCGTTTATCTGTCCATTATAGTGGTTATTATAAAGTTTCTGTTATAACTTGTGGCCTGTGTGCCTTGTTAATGTATAATGTGATGATACTGCCAATTAGAGAGCAGTGAATTTTCGATCGGACCAGTGACGCATAAAACCCGTGCAAGCAGTCTAGAGTACTTATCGGTCCTGCTTCCTGCCTAGCCTGGCCAGTTAAGTCCACAACACCAATCTCAGCTTCTGTGATATGAATCATTTATTTCAAACATACTGGGTTTATACACAAACTAATCAGGCTACATCATATCATTAAATGGAAAATACCATTTGTACAAGATTTAGCAAAATGTGGCTATGAATATGGCAGGTAGCAATTGATAGACAAGGCATAAATCAAGAATGGTAAATCGTATAATAACAGTTCATAGGTCAAAATAAAGCTTATGACAAGAGGAACACGAATATGATTAGTTTAGTTATTTAACAATTATACGATAAAAATATGCGTGTGTGGTATTGATCCATAAATGGATCCCAAGAAATACCATTCATTATACTTATCGGGATATAACAGTTTCCCATTTTATTTCTTATGTTGTTTCATTGTACTACTACAATTGTATCTTTGTGGTATAGCAACCTGAACTGATGTACGTACGTAAGAATTTCTACGTTGTTGCTGACTGACTGTACTACTGTGATTTGTATCAACTTGATCCGATACATATTCATATCAAATCCTACCTTGTTTAATGACTGAGATCATTCAAAGTCAGACTATTTTACTTAAAGTTTGGTACGTGTTTTTTATTGAGCGAAATTCTTACAAAGGAATAATTATTGATGATATTTTCGCAGGTTTACTAACTTTATAACTTAATGATTGTCAAAATAAAAATTATATTTTCTGACGTTTCGTGACTTAGTGTAAGCCATTTCTTCAGATTTATTTATTCTATGAAGAAGTGGCTTACACTAAGTCACGAAACGTCAGAAAATCTCATTTTTCTACTTATTAAGATATTACAAATATGCTTATTTATTTATAACAATCTACCCAATCTTCAATTTATTCGAAATGATCAAATCAAACTTTGGTAATGATACCTACAAACTCATTATTCAGTTTAGTGTTATTTGATTCGAAATCTTGACTGAATTCTACCTTTTAGATGACCAAGTGAATATGGTATTGTTAAATTATTATTTGTCCTTAGATTGTTGAGAATAACCACTAACCTTTTTAAAATATTTCTGACATGATGACGTCTTTTTTTATACCAATCATTATATAGACATAAAACTTAGTAACCAAATATACTGATGATATACTCAATATTGAGTCATATTTTGTTTTTATATAAAGGTTTGTAAAACTAACTAGCTAATCAAAGATTTTGTAATTTACATTACGTGCATGGAGGACAATTGACAGACTCGTTCGAGATAAAGACCGGTGTCAGGCTTGGTTGCTTACTCTCATTCTTTCTCTTTCTCTTGGTGATCGACTGGATTATGAAGATGTCAATATCTGAGGGGAAGCATGGGATACAGTGGACAGCTAGGATGTGGCTGAACGATCTAGACTTCGCAGATGATCTGGCTCTTCTATCACAAACTCAATAACAAATGCAGAAGAAGATGACCAGTGTAACAACAGCCTCAGCAGCAGTAGGTCTCAACATACACAAAGGGCAAAGCAAGATTCTCCCATACAACACAGCATGCACCAATCCAATCACAATTGATGGAGAAGATGTGGAAGATGTAAAAACATATCTGGGCAGCATCATTGATGAACACGGTGGATCGGTAAAGCAAGAGCAGCATATCTACAATTGAACAATATCTGAAACTTATTACAACTGTCAACCAACATCAAGGTCAGAATTTTCAATACAAATGCCAAGACAGTTCTACTATATGGGACGGAAACTTGGATAACTACGAAAGCAATCGTACAGATGTATATTAACAGTTGACTACGCAAAATACCTCCGATTCGTTGGCCAGACACTATCAGCAAGAACCTACTGTGGAAGAGAACAAACCAGGTTCCAGCGGAGGAAGAAATCTAGAAGAATCGCTGTAAATGAATAGGACACACATTGAGGAAAGCACCCAACTGTGTCACAAGGCAAGCCCTCACTTGGAATCCTCAGGGTCAAAGGAAAAGACGAAAACCAAAGAACACATTACACCGAAAAATGGAGACAGACATGAGAAAAATGAACACCAATTACATAGTCCTGGAAAGAAAGGCCCAGGACAGAGTGGGTTGGAGAATGCTTGTCGATAGTTTACGCTCCATTGGGAGTAACAGGAGTAAGTAACTAGGTAATTACGGGCTAACTGTAATTAAGCAATCATTGAATAACAGGAAGTTCTATTATTGGACTTTTTAACAGTCCACATCCATCATCTCATTAGGGATCAAATCTAAGATCTATTCATGAAGTCAAAAGCATACGAAGTTGAATTATAGCCTAGTCATCGTTGTTCATCAATATTAACAATTCAAAGCGTATTCATAGTTTTTGAAGTGGTTAAAATATTGATAACAATTAAATTAATATACTAATATGCTAGTCTAAGGCTTTAATTCTATTCAAGCTTAATTTGAAATGTATGTACTTAGTGAACTTGTTATTTAGATTTCATTGATATGTCTAAGTTTTCATCATATTTCTAAATGTTTTTGTAGCTTGTTGGTTCAGCACCAGGATTTCCCCATGGAATAATTGATCCTATAGAAGAAATTGCTAAAGTTAGTTACTTCTTTGTCCATTTATATTTGAGCCTAGTCATAACTCGTGAATCACTTCTATCCTTTTTTTGAAATATGACAAACTGTCTTTAACGTTTTATCATTAACGTTGACTAACTGTTGAATTGTTTGTTTTATTCCTAGAAAAAAAAGATCATCTCTTCCTTCTGAAACATTCATTTAATCAAGTGTTTATAGCTTCTTATAGGAATGTTGTACCTGCTGTGTTCATGTGCCATGAGTGATTGGTTGTTGTTATTGTTGTTGCAAAAGTAAGAGTTTGCAAGTGGAATGTTCATTGGTTGTATCAGATTGGTTAATAATAAGAGTTTATAAAGATAATGGCGTACATTGGCTGCTAGATTCTGAAAGAATTAAGGATATATGAATCTACTTTAGACATCAGTTACCATAACATTGTATCTCTTGATGTTTGGTAAACTATATTTTAAAGTTAAAGGCGCTTAAATACGAAATCTGAACACTGTCTCAGTACTTACACAAATAATAATGATCATAGAATTCTTTGGCTCAACATAGTTATCGTACTATTACTAACCTACAGTTTACTAAACGAAAGCAGCCTAATCAGATTTCGATATATACTACTGCTAATCTGAATATTCCTATTCAGTAGTTTATTCTGTGATAAATTCTGATCGACTAAGGTTTCGGGAGTAGCAAGCATATGTTACATTTTCTTAACCATCGTCTACTTTACCTTACTGATAAATAAATGGGTTGGATGAAACCTAGTGGCGTTCAAACCAATAGTTGATGTCAATTCATGAAACTGTAAACTATCGTAATGAATCATGTTGGTTAATCCAAACTACCTGATAGGGCATCGACTCAATCAACTTTCGGAAATGTCAAATAACCTTTTTCAGAAATGGCTACAGAGGCTTAGCGATTACGTATTCGCTCTTTATTTTTCTTATGCATCTTATTGTGTATATTTAGTTTTGGGAAGAATTAGATTAACCCTTTATTTTCCTGGCTATACACTGATTGCCATTGAGTTTTAAACAGGATTTTCTTTTTTTTTTTCTTCTTACCATAGTTAGGTCATAGATATAATATACCAGTTCATGTGGATTGTTGCTTAGGTGGTTTCCTTTTACCTTTTATGGAAAAAGTTAGTTATCCAATTGGAGAATTTGATTTTCGGTTGCCTGGTGTCACAAGTATATCATGTGATACACATAAAGTTAGTTTTGTTTTCTTAAAAAATACTTGATTCGTTTTCTTTCTTATTCATAAAAGTTTATGCTACCCTGTTTTTGATATTCAGGACTAAATTTTAAAGTAAACAGTATTGATTTCTAATTATAATTATGAACATCAACACTGGTTCTGATGAGTCCCAGATAAGATGAAATCTGCATCGTGGATTCCACTGACCGTCTTTTATATGAGTTATCTACTAATGGTTATTCAGTAAACATGAATATATTTAAATATTGTCTTATTTTAGTTGTATGGTTTATGGTTTATGCTGTAGACGGACAGTTTATCTCAACAATGTTTAACTCGGAGTGTTATTGCGTTCTATGCATTCTATGTGCTAATATGGTATAACAACTCAAACTGATGTACGTACGTACGAAGTTCTACGTTGTTACTGAGTGACTGACTGACTATTGCATTCTATGATCTTAATAGTTTAATTACAAATCGTTCATCTCTTACTTCAAATCAAAGTATATTACAATTTATTTTACAATCTTCAATCAATTAGTCAGAAATCAACCTAACACACAACTTAGTTGAAAGAATATATAAAAATTTCAAAGTAATTCTCATCATAAACTGACAATATTTAAGCAATCATTGGAAAAGAAGGAATATTGGGGAGCCAGTTTTATCTAGTTTTAAACTCTTGGATGATATGGTGCACTTACTTGTGTTTTTTTATGAGATCGAGTTCAAAATACGTAGGTCTCATTGTCTATAGAGTCAACCATATTGAAACTGTAATTCGTCAATAACACTGAATGAGAAACACACTGTATGGTGGTAAATCGGTCGAAGTTGTGTACCTTCGAATTCCTACTTAATGATTTGAATATATCGTTATATCTTTACATTACTCGAATGTGATCGTATGCAGTGTCGTAGGTGCACACTACTGAAGTACACAGAATTTAGATGAAATAATGAACTGTTAAATCTTTTAGAAGAATTCACATGATATAATATTCAACTTTTTTTTGTAGTATTGTAAATCAAAACAATAGGCAGGAGAAACGTATATTTAGATAACCTCCAATCGTTAATTTGCATCTTTAAGTGTGTTCTGCCATCTGAATTGTCTTTTTGTCTAGTCTCAGAGTGTTCTACCAACGCTTTGCTTTTGATGCACTAAAACTCGTCACTCTCTTTGACAGTTGTTACCACTTCGATACTACGTTCCTCTACATACTACTTACAAACATCCTTGTGAATAGCGTCCACTACAGTATTTTACGTGATTCGAGTTTGGTCTTAATAATTGTTATTAGAAGAAGTGAATTTTCTTTTGTTGTTTTTATTTAGATAACTCATTCTGACGTAGAAATTTGAGACTCTTCTGTAGTTGATTATAATTATCATTCTATTCATCGAAATTATGGCTTAAAACTAACTATATGAACTCATACTTGTTAATTATTGAACGATATTATTTATTTTTTTGGGCCATTTCTTGTCCAGACAATCTTATCTGTCAGTCATAATTAATCTGTACAAGATATCAGACTAAGATCCACCCATTATTATTATTATTATTAATCTTACTCAATACCCATTCCTTTCTTTGTAGTACGGGTTTGCACCAAAAGGCACATCTGTTATAATGTATAGAAATCAATATTACCGATCTAAACAATACTTTACACAGACAACTTGGCCTGGTGGCATATATGCTTCATCAACTTTACCAGGTATGTTCAACTGTTTATTATTATTATTATTATTATTATTATTATTATTATTATTATTATTATTAGTAGTAGTAGTAGTAGTAGTAGTAGTAGTAGTAGTAGTAGTAGTAGTAGTACTAATGGCAGTAGTAGTAGTAATGTTAGTAGTATTTATAATATCAACACGTTTATAAAAGTTATGTATTATGACACTTAAAAGACACACAATAATTTTCTGATTTCTATATAACTGTTGTTGTTGTTGTTGTTTTTATTGATGAAGCATTATGTTTACATAAACATGTTTACGGGTAACATCAATAAACTTTTAATTGTCATTAAACAGTTTTGGGTTTTTCTTTTCTTTTTTTATCATTAAAATGTTCTCTGTCAATGGAATAACTTCTGATGATTAGAAAGAATTATATTAAAATGAATATAGAATTTAATTGTTTTTTCTTTATGTAAATTAGTTGGCTTCGAATATTACCTTTTTATTAATTTGGACATATAAACATTGGTACAAAGGTGAGTGAGTGAGTGAGTGAGTGAGTGAGTGAGTGAGTGAGTGAGTGAGTGAGTGAGTGAGTGAGTGAGTGAGTGAGTGAGTGAGTGAGTGAGTGAGTGAGTGAGTGAGTGAGTGAGTGAGTGAGTGAGTGAGTGAGTGAGTGAGTGAGTGAGTGAGTGAGTGAGTGAGTGAGTGAGTGAGTGAGTGAGTGAGTGAGTGAGTGAGTGAGTGAGTGAGTGAGTGAGTGAGTGAGTGAGTGAGTGAGTGAGTGAGTGAGTGAGTGAGTGAGTGAGTGAGTGGGTGAGTGAGTGAGTGAGTGAGTGAGTGAGTGAGTGAGTGAGTGAGTGAGTGAGTGAGTGAGTGAGTGAGTGAGTGAGTGAGTGAGTGAGTGAGTGAGTGAGTGAGTGAGTGAGTGAGTGAGTGAGTGAGTGAGTGAGTGAGTGAGTGAGTGAGTGAGTGAGTGAGTGAGTGAGTGAGTGAGTGAGTGAGTGAGTGAGTGAGTGAGTGAGTGAGTGAGTGAGTGAGTGAGAGCGAGGCATACCTGATAACGTCTCAAGCTACTGTGTTGCACTATCTCTAGGACACCAACCAATGAGTTATAAAGGATCAAGAGATACCAGCCTTTATTAAGTATCACGACACTATGACATGAATAAATAAACTGGAAAATGGAATGTTATGAGCTTTTTTCTGGAACTAAAAGATTCAGACAATTTGGCAGTTGAAAGTGCATTGCCTAGCTTATAGTTGACTTTAAGTGAAAATGTTGTTACATTCAAATAATTAATACTGACATCTAAAGAAATAATTCATTATAGATTGACTCCTACTAAATAACCTTTGAATAGCAAGGTCCGTTGAACAGTGGTTTCGTCCTAGTACTAGACTGTTTAGTATTAGGGATTCACAACAGCCAGGAATCGAATCGAGCATTCCCAGGTCTCTCATATTGACTGAAGTTGGATAAACAGACCAGTTGATCCTCAACTCAGTTGTTTGTAGGAAATATAATAACCATGAGGTTTGAAGGTCTTGGATTTAGTACTTAAATAGCTATCCAGTTCTCCTTGGTTTTTAACGGTTATCCAAACAATTCCTGATATAAACTACCTTCCGATTGAAAATTTTCCATAAACCTTTCATCTGAATAAAGTTTTCCACTATACCTGTAACTTGGACTCAATGATCGGACTTGACATTAGTGCTGACCTAGTGGTGCTAAATTTTCTGAAGCATTTTCTTCTTAAGGGTTCACCCATGTTAAACAGATTGAATTACTGGAAAGAGGTAAGATTGAGAGAGCTAAATCAATAGTCCAAGAGCTAATTTGCGCTACTGGGAAGGTTTAAAACGTAAACAGCTCACACATGAAAAACAAATCAAAATCCGTTTTGTGCGATTGTCATCAAATAGCTCTCTAATTACGATCTCAGGTTGAATAAGTCTCGAATATTAACCTCTTTTCATCTCCAAACCACTCGAAATGAAACAAATCTTTTCATAATTCAACCATCTGTAAAGAATCAAGCACATACACACTCCTAGTAACACTTGGGTTTTGCTAGTTTTGAAGCAGTTACAAGTCCATTTAGTCTGCGAATGGAACACAGACTCGGTGACCAAAGACCAATAAACTAGCTATTCTATTGCGTCCCAACCCCGCTAATTAGAAAGAGAAGTCGAAATCCGAACGGGGAAGTATATTCCACAAAAAGTCAGAAGCATGAGAGATAACAACAGACATAAATCAAAGCGTATGTATACAGCACAAAACCGTCCTTGGGAAGCGTTACAAAATAGCATATTAAAAGACACAAAGGACCAATAGCATTTAAGATTCTTCCAAATGGTAAATACGACATGAAGGTGAAAAGATCACTCTTGCCGCGAAAACAAAGAAATTCAAAATTTCAAAAGAAAATTACAAAATTAGGATCTTTTCCAAATGAGTTCTGGGGATCTAACGTCTCCAACAGGTTTCCTCTAATTATTCACTGTTTAATATCTATTTGAAATTGTTTAGAGAGTTTTTGAATCTTGATAGATAATCCATTCCATTGAATGACCAATATATTAAACTCTGAAGAAGCAAATGATCTAGAACATACAAAATTGGTCTCTACACACTATTAGGAAATATTTGTTTATGGAAGTTTAAGCTTCTAGCATCAGAATTATCAGTAATTGTAATAATCATGTTAAATTTTTACTTCGATACAATTGTGAAAGGATTCAGCTTTATAATTTTGTCAATGATTCTTGTTGGATAAACCTTTTCAATCAGATTTTTTTTCATCAGTGATTTATATTTTCCTTAGTAAAATCGAAACTTTAAACTTATCCGTTTGAAAGACAAGATTATCATATAAATTACTTTTCCCTCAAATGCCCTGATACGGTCGAGAGTGAGGAGAGTTAGCTCTCCCTCTTTAAATGCTCTCACATGGCCACGCGTATATAGCCTCTACCAAGGAGGTCCTGCTCACTACCTTCTCGTGGCAATACTGTTGTTTACGAAATTGAGAAGACGAAAATCGAGTGTCCAGAGCTTTAACTGGGCTGGTGGACATGAAGAGTCCACCTAGGGGAGTTGGAAAACCTGCATTCCAAACCAATGGTACACATGAGCTCCAGTATCGTGAGGGAACAAATGGCGTATGAACCAATCGTTGGTCACCGGCTACCATGGGATTGCATCTCCTTACGACGCTCCACTGTCTTGTCGAGCAGACCATGTCGAAGGCTCCGGGTGTGGCCCCCTGAGAAAACCACCTGTTTCGGTTTGAGCACTCGGACAGTATCACAGCCCTCACACATATCAAATGAGATTTGTGTGGCACATATGTATTTGGTGCCTCGTTGTACCAATATCTATGTGTTAAAATAAATAATAATAATAACTTTGATAATCATTAATCATTTTCTTCTGGTTATTTCATATCGGCTCTCTGTAGATGGATAGATAGGTAGATAGATCTTTTGGACATTCTATCATTATTCAATAAAATTTGTTGAGTAAATGTATATTATACAGTTAGGATTTGTATTAGTCCATCTCTTTTTTTTAAAGCTAATTATAAATTAGTGAATGTAGGTGGTAGGGCGGGGGAGTGAGTATTCCATTCTTTTGTTTGTTTGACCGCTGAATGTGTAAACTGAATGATAAAAACATGACTTCTTCAGTTTGAATATTAATATTACTCTGTTCAACTTAATATAAAATTATCCTCACTTCAGGAAGTCGACCTGGTGCGTTAATTGCTACTTGCTGGGCAACAATGATGTATCATGGAGAAAATGGTTATTGCAAATCTACTAAACGTATCATCAGTACTACTCGATATATTATAAATGAGTAAGCTAAATTATTCCTATTCTAGTTATTAAATCCGTATCAAATTGGACTGATAAATCATAGAAAACCAAAAGATAATTTTCGGCTACTTTCTTTGTTTGTTTGTTTTTCTTGTTTCGTTTAAAATCTTCATATACTAAGTACCTATTACCTTATATGGCATCATTGATCATGGTTTATGATGAGAAGATTTATAATGAGAAATTTGGATTATTGAATTTCTGTCCATAGATTGAATAGTATACGGTTGATAGTTAGACCTCAAATGTTATGGTTTGCGTAAGTTAAAAACACGTTCTCAAACAAGTCGCAAAATTATATTTTCACCAGGCAAAAATATTATACTTAAAACTGTACAGGATACACATATGCCAACATGAGGACTGATCAATTACAGTCCTAAATAACAAAGAGGAAGATACAAGTAAAATAACACCAAGTGAATTCAATCATTAGTATAGGGGTTGTAGAGATGATTAAGTTTTTGATTGAGATCATGAACCGATTGATGTTAGACCACCACAATCAAAAAGCTGGAAGCACTGGACGGTCGTTTCGTCCTATTGTGGGACTCCTCAGCCGTACGCATCCACGATCCCGCCTGCGGTATTCGAACTCAGGGCCTTCGTTCTCCCGCGCGGACTCTTAACCTACTGAACCACTGAGCTGGCCGGCATCCGATGGTGATACTGTCTAACATCAACCAATCCAGGAAATCGCGCAACCAACTTCCATTGTGCTGAGGTAGATACCTGTCTCTACCCAACATGGATTAGCTCCACTGGTCACGGCTTCTCACTAAAACTCCGAGAATTCCCTCACGAAGCTAATCACTAGTGAGCACATGTTGATTAGTAGTATAGGAGTTGTGGAGATTATTAAGTTTTTGATTGAGACCATTTATATACTAATTTCTACACACAGCAATATCACATATAAGAGAAAATACATCAAATTACTGTAAATATACACACTGAATTAAGTCCAGTTGATGAAACTAATACAGGGAATATAATTATCACACTGAACAAAAATTCACACTTGTCTTATTGAACAAAATTTATACTGAATTGATACAATGATTATTAACTTAAACAAATATCATCTTTTAAAAAGTTTTAAATGTTAATGTAGAAGCGGTCCCTAGTGAACTCGAAGAACCTCTAAAAGAGCCGAAGACATTCCTCTCTCACCGCCCCCCCCTCATACATCTGTCGTTCATATTTTACAGTGTGACAAATCGTCATATACAATAAATTAATCATTAAACAGTGATCAATGTTGTATTTTTCTAGTCTTTTAGTGATGATCAAATCCTATTAACCAAATTGTATTGTAGCCACTATCTCTAAGTGACTTAACAGTGCGTTCACTATTTTGAGATACTAGTTGGTTAGAGATAGTCGATAGGGAACTCTGCCTTACTTAGATTTTGTATCAGTTCACATTTTTCAACAAAGATTACTTACCGGTTTGATATAAACGATACTCTGTAAGATTCGAACAAGAGGGTTAGTCATAGCTTGAATAGTTCAGCAGTAACACTTCCGAATGTGAAGCTAGGTGACATATGTTTAGATCCCACAGAAGTTCATCGGTTACTTGAGTATCTTAGATACACACCTTAATGACCAATGCTAATTAGTAGAAAACCTAGATCAAGAAGTGTGTCCCCTACCTTGTTATTTCTAACCATCAAATACCAATGTATTTTTGTTGAAGAGATTTTGTGGAGATTAGTTTAGTCTAAAGGTTATATTTGTCATAGATTTACCTGAATTAGGATATTATGAAATATCTATGAAATCTTATTAATTATCTTTTACTGGTTGAAATCATGGGTCGATTGAAGCTAGACCACCATGGAAAACCTGGAAACACTGGACGGCTGTTTCGTCCTAGTATGGAACTCCTCAGTGGAGTTCAACCTGGTCTGTTATGAGATAGGAACTCACTGAAGACAATGGTGTACAGTGGCGCAACTTCGTGGATTGGTTGAAGTTAGACAGTAACACCGGTGGATGCCGGCCAGCTCAGTGGTCTAGATGGTTAAGCGCCTGGCGCGATACTGATAGGTCCTGGGTTCGAATCTCGTGTGGTGTGGGATTGTGGATGCGCACTGCTGGGGAGTCCTATACTAGGACGAAACGGCCGTCTAGTGCTTCCAGGTTTTCCATGGTAGTCTAGCTTCAATTGACTCATGATTTCAACCAGTGAAATCTATAAATCTCCACAAAAACCCATTCTAATAATTATCTTTTCTTATTTCATTTAGATTACGTAAAATACCGGGTATTTTTGTAATTGGTGAACCAAATGTTTCCATTGTAGCATTTAGTTCAAATAATTTTGATATATATAAATTAAGTCATTTATTATCAGATAAACCAAATGGACGTGGTTGGAATTTAAATAATTTACAATTTCCACCAGCGATTCATTTATGTGTTACAGATATGCATACAACAAAAGGTTGTGCAGAACAATTTATTCAAGATGTAAAAGATGTAGCTAAAGAATTAATAAAACAACCAAATAAAAAATCTGAAGGTTCAGTAAGTTGGGGTTTTTTTATTCAGTTCTTGTTATATTGGTGTTTACATAAGAAAGTAGCTCAAGAGTTTAAGGCGTTCGACTTCCAGTTATAAAGTCCCCAGCCTTGATCCTTGAATCTATCTACTTCAGTTTAGGTGACTGGTTGATATTGATAATTTTTTTATTCAGAGTGTGGCTTAAAGCCAATTGTATGGATCTGTACGTGATAAATGAGTTTAAAAAATCTATTGTCGCTTAGTTAAAATTGAATCCTTAAATGTAATAGTGGTTGATAGTGTAAGTTCCAGTGATGATGATGATGATAATCAGAACACGGGTTGGGACAATCGAATTATTTAGCACAAAATTACAGAGTTACTTGGTAAAATAGAAAAACCGTACTATAGTACTTAATTTGCAAAACGTTCAATAATTGTCCCGAACTTCATTGTTCTTGCATTTCCATACTAATTGCTTTCTATCCCCGCTCTTCCTTTCTTGATCTTCCTCCATCTTCTGCTGCCAGACATTACATTCCTGACTCGCATTATATACTACTTATATCAGTATAAGTAGCACGCACTACACTCGCCCCCTCCCCTTAAGGCAGTCGTTCTTGCGGTGGTTCATGCTCGCCGTGCCATATTCTTCGTCTCTGCAGGATGTGCTACGCTCTTCGTCAAAATTTCGAGTCTGCGGCGCGCTGAACTCCATAGCTCCGTCGACCTCCCGGAGTAACAATATCCTACATCCACCCGGCACCTGGGACGCTTAACACCCGTGCTTCACCGGCCTGCTGAGGCACCGACACCCGATGTCCGCACAGCAGCCGCGCGTCTCACCGCTCCTTTCCGTCGACAGCACCCGCTACAGCCAACGCCACCCCACCAGAACACTCCACTCGACGCCACCTCCCCGCACCAGACTGCCCCAGCTAGCACCTCAGCTCCAGGCCCGCGACGGCGTCCGCAGAACAGCACCCTCCCTCTCTCCTGATTGGCAGCGTCATTTTACCCTACACTACGAAGTGGCTAAATGAAAAAACTGCTATTCTTTTTCATCTGGGCTTTAATGAAGAATAAGTAGTTCTGATGCTAGAATATCATTTATCAAATTACGGGTAGAAATACACTTCATTTATTTCGATAATAGTTATCATAGAATAGCATCTATACGGTGCGGTTTTCCAACCATTTTAGGTCGATGAAACCTCAATTAGTAAAGCCAATAAGTGTATCTGGATTAGAATACACTTTCCAAGGCTCATGAACCCACCACGTGGACGTGATTTAGTGGAGAAATCGTTAAAACTTCCGGGTCTGGATACGCGGGCATCGCACCAAGGGAAAATCTACTCTACATGCACACCGGTAGCGCACAAGTTTTTACTCATGCATCCCGTAACATACATATAGGTATATTCACCTAGGACGGTAGATGGTCATCACTCCCTTCAAACGTATTTGCTTCAACTGACTGTCACTCTCATGTTACATGCATATCACTGGTATAAAGGCTTTTACCCCTGCACTTCATGGCATGGACATAAGCGTAAGCCCTCTTTCAAGAGGGTTTGATGGTCAACTACCTCTAATATTTGCTACCATATCCTTTTATTACGTTTTCGACCTCATTGGCATAGACCACTGATCTTATTACATATAAGACAGATATTTTTTCAGCTTACGTTCCTTTTGCATGCATGGGGCGTACCCTTTGGATGTGTCTACATACATGACTTCAAAAACCAAGACCTATGTAATTCATATAGATAAGCATACACATTGGGCAGCCCGTCACACTTTTTAAAGCCTTAAAAAATGAACGCCATGTGTTAATTATTCTCTGTACCCCAAGGGAATATGAAAGTAAATGACACTTTAAAAAATTATTTACAGATCTTTTCATCAATGATTACAATGGAAAACCTTTTAGTCTTTATCATGAGAATTAAAGTAAGTAACTTTGAGAATTGACCAATTAGGATGCACGTTTCAAGGAGAAACCAACTTCAAGTTTATACATGTGCTTAGAAACAGAAATTCCAAGATTTCAACTAAAGGAATCACTTTTCCAACTGACTCTGATTGAGCTTACCAACAAGCATACTTACAAACAGTTTGTTGTTTCTAAACCTTCAGTCATACACATTCTGAATCTTCCATTAAAGTAATATCCAATTATCGTAATCAATAACTTGACCATGACTTCTGACATAATTAAATTTTCAATATCACTTTTGAAAATAATTGACGAAACTTTCGGTATTGTTTTAATCATGCAATGACACGATATGTGGAGAGCCCTTAATAATTATATCGTACTAATTTAGGTCTCTTCATCACTGCGTATCATTGAAAATAATTAGGGCTTGAGACCAAAATATCGAACAAGACACCTTTAGATCCGTTAACTGTAACCTACCAGTTTCAAATCTATCACATTCATATTAATATTTTCTGCTATTGTATTCATTCCTGTATGTGAAGTGACTTTATTGTTACTACCTCTACTATTCTGGAAATCAACTTAACAGTTTGATCTCTCTGTGACAAAATAGGGTATAGTAACTTGAACCGATGTACATAAGTTTCAGGTTCTATATTGTAATTGACTGACTGTGAATTGTAGAAATAGTTCATCATTGAAAAATAAAGATGGTACTTCAGCGATGAAATTTTTCTTTTCGACGATTTCACTAACTTAAGCTGTACAGTCAGTCAGTCAGTAACAACGTAGAACTTCGTACGTACGTACATCAGTTCGAGTTGCCACACCACCTTAGCACAGAGATGCAGTTGTCGATTCAAATCCCGTAGTGGTAGAGGTAGCAAGAGTATAAGCAGTAATCGGGAAAATTAGGGTTTGGAGATGTTATTTAAAGAGTATAATCCAGTGAAACAAATTTGGAAAGAATAAAAAAGGGACATGAAGAATTCAGAAGATTAGAATTTGAGAGAACACAAAGAGTGTATGCACCTGCGCCATTGCAAACGATTTTGAGCCATGTTATTCAGGGTCTCTAACCATCGGTTGCTATCAACTCGTGGTCCCCAACCAGGTAGTCTACACCTACCAACATGACTCAGTCTACTTGTCAGTGACCTCATGGACTTGTGCTGTACAGTCGTATTTATAGTCAATTTTACTGGCTAAAATAATGTTTTGTAGTGAGATAGAAAGGTATTAATTAATTAAAAAAAGCTAGAAGTAGTATGTTATCTAGACGGAAGTTAAGTAACAATCGGCTAGTGAAGAAAAGTGATAAGGTAGACATAATCATCTATTCAATATCTTGTAAGGACAGAATCATTAAAATTTGTAATTATTGCTAATTAATAAAAACGATAGATTATGGAAGATAGAAAGTGAGGTCACAACCATTGAAAAATAAAGGACTGAACATATTGTTTTTGTATACAAAGGTTAGGTTTAAACTGGTACATAGCAATAGCGTCTGTTGTACATAAATTTTCTCATTTGCATTCTCAACTTTTCTGGTTGTATGTATGATTTTTAAAGAGGTTTCTGGTGAAGTAGAGTGACTAGAATTGACTAGATGCTCTAGAACTAAGTTTTCAACTGACTTTCACAATCCTTTAACGAGCCAGTCAGAGTAATGTTTGAAGATGTGTTTCAAAAGAACTCGATTTATGTGGCCAATATAACCAGTTACACATGATTTGGCTCACAGCTATAGTTCATTATTGATAAAAGTATTGTTTATTTTATTTTATTCAAACACAAGGATGCACCAAATAGATATGTGCTACATAAATCATTCGATTTGTGTGAGGGTTGAGGTACTCCCCGAGTGCCCAAACCAAAGCAGGTGGTTTTCTTAAGGGCCACACTCGGAGCCTTCGACCTACAGGTCTGATCCACAACACAGTGGAGCATCGTAAGGAGATGCAATCCCATGGTAGCCGGCGACCAACGATTGGTTCATACGCCATTTGCACCATTGGTTTGAAATCAAAGTTTTTCAACTCCCCTAACTGGGATGTTCCGTGTCTATCAGCCTGGTTAAAGCGCCGGACACTCGATTTTCGTCTTCTCAATTTCGTAAACAATAGTAATGCCACAAGAAGGTAGTGAGTAGGATTTCCCTGGCAGCAGCCTTATATGAATGATCATATGAGAGAGCATTTCGAAAGGGAGAGCGGACTCTCCTCACTCTCGACCGTACCAAGTCATTTGAGAGCATTGTACCTAAAAGAATTCATTTCAAAGAATCTTTTTACAAATAATCCAATTGACATTGAATATCTCTTTCTTTCTTTTTTTCTTATTTAATTAATTAACATTCCTAATTAAGAATTATATAATCTTCATCTATTCTCTTTCTTATTTCAATCAACAATTAAAGGCTGCTCTTTATGGATTATCACAAATGATACCGGATCGTTCAATTGTCACTGAATTAGCTCATTGCTATTTAAATGCATATTATGATACACCAAATAATGTATCATAATAATAATAATAATACAGGAAAGACATTTTCTAGTGTTTATCTTATAAGATCTAATAATACACTATTATGTATACACTTTTTTCTTCAATTCTATACATCTGATATTCATTGAGTATTATTCATACATAGTATTAACTCTATTCTGAAGAAGATGAAGAAGAAGAAAAAGACGAAACACAAAGAATCTAGACGTTTATACTATTGAAAATAGTTTTCTTTTTATTTATAGAAGCTTTAACTGGACAATTTTTAATTGTCTTTTATTCTATGTGTATTTGACTTTCTCAATTGCTTCACTAATTCTTTGTTTATTTACTTACTTTTATTTTTTTTTATTTTGCCTATATAATGGAGTTATTTGAGATTTAAGTGTATTTGATTGGGGCTTTTGTATGGAGGTTAATAGAATAGTATAACACATAAATAAAATTCTTGAATGTGAATATTTTCAATTATTGATATCAGTATAGGAGTTGTGGAGATTATTAAGTTTTTGTTTCGGATCATGAACCGATTGGTGTTAGACTACCATTGGAAACCTGGAAGCATTGTAAGGCCGTTTCGTCCTATTGCGGAACTCCTCAGCAGTGCGTGTCTACGATCCCGCTCGCTGGATTCGAGCCCAGGGCTCTCAGTCACGCGCGCGAACTCTTAACCTACTGGATCACTGAGCCGACCGGCATCCGATGGTGATAGTGTCTAACATCAACCAATCCATGAATTTGCACGACTATCTTCCATTGTACTGAGGTAGATACCTGTCTCTACTCGACATGGGCGAGCGGGTCCTGGATTCGAACCTCGCGATGCGGGATCGTGGATGCGCACTGCTGAGGAGTCCCACAATAGGATGAAACGGCCTTACAGTGCTTTCAGGTTTCCAATAGTGGTCTAACATCAATTGGTTCATGATCTCAATCAAAAATTATTGATTTGTTTTGTGCTGATTATTCAAATGAGTATCAATGTTTGTTTGTTTGTTTATGTATCGATGTGTGTGTGTAAATATGTTTATGAATTTAGATTGATTTACCAAATAAGTAGATCATAATAATATCTGTAGATATTAGCCCTATTTTATTGATCTTTGAAGATAGCCTACATTACGGACTAACTTTAGCAAGATAATCAGCAAAAAAACAAAGAACACTAGATGATTATTATTTCGTCATGATATGCGACTTCTTAATAATGACAACTTCTAAAAAGATCGAATCTATCATCTTCACACATATAAATCGGTTTACATTTACAAATCCAGGCACTATAATATCATGTTAAGCCTCCATGATATATATTGACGTCAATGAAACAGTTTAACATTCAGTATATTAAATTGGATGTTATCTAATAACGCAAATGTGACTTCAATAGTTCAAACCTAAAACTTTACTTAAAACAATTAATCCCTTTGATAAATTTCGATGTAATAAGAAGAAGATGAAGATTATCAGTACTATGTGATGACATATATTAGCGTAATACATTTCGAACAATCTGATCACACATCACATACTTGTTAAGAACATATAAGGTATATTAAAGTTTATTGAAACCTTAACCATTCAAATATTCAAACCCTTTTTTGTGTATTCAAAAACAGTTTGTTCTCACCTTAAATCTACCCTGGTAATATTATCTTATTATTCGTAAAGTGATTAGGTGTCAAATTGTGTTCACATTATTATTATTTTTTTGATTGAGATCATGAAGCGATCGATGATGTTAGACTACTATTGAAAACCTGGCAGCACTGGGCGGCCGTTTCGTCCTATCGCGGTACTCCTCAGCAGTGCGCATTCATGATCCCGCTAGCGGGATTCGAACCCAGGTCCATCAGTCTCGCGCGTGAACGCTCAACCTACTGGATCACTGAGCCGGTCGGCATCGAGTGGTGTTAATGTCTAACCTCAACCAATCCATGAAGTTGTGCCACCATCTTCCATTGTACTGAGGTAGACACCTGTTTCCACCCTAAACGGATTAGCTCCGCCAGCGGGATCGTGGATGCGCACTGCTGAGGAGTTCCGCGATGAGATTGTTAAGTTTTTGATTGAGATCATGAACCGATTGATGTTAGACCACCATTGAAAACCTGGAAGTACTGGACGGCCGTTTCGTCCTATTGCGGGACTCTTCAACAGTGCGCATCCACGACCTCGCCCCCTGCAAGATTTGAACCCAGGACCTACTGGTTTCGTGCGCAAGCACCTAACCACTAGACCACTGAGCCGGCATCCAACAATGTTAATGTCTAACCTCAACCAATCCACGAAATCAACAGTTGTATACTATTAATAAATCTGTAACATCTTTTGTAATGTTTATCCAAGATAATATTCTTTGTATTGACTCAATGTAAACTACTTCTTTAGAGTAAATAAATAACCAAATCAAAAATTTATCCAAGTTTAAATAGTACATAAGAATAATGCAAGAATATTATGTGCGATTAATCAAAAAAACAAGTCTCAACAAGTCAATATCATGTTATTTCGGTCAAGGTGATTTATAATCGACATATATGTAAATTTGTGTGTGTGTGCGTGTGCAAGGTCAGGGATGAAAAAATGTGACCTTCATGGTGAGAAAGGATAGAGTTTAATTTGTATGTACGATAATAGTGTGAAATGTGAATAGTATCAGACATGGTATCTTGGATAGATATTTTAAGTCGGATGTGTAGTGAGATCATCTTTTCTATTGAGATCATGTTATGGAATACTTCAGCTACTCTCCTATTTTTGTAGTTGGAAAAACGTTTGTGTATTATTTTGGTGTTTTTGAAATTGATTTGGTGGTTGTTGAGAACGGTGTAAACTGCTATCCTTGACGAGGGGTAACAGACGTAAGCAAGTCAGTATTGTGTTATTTTATTTGAACACATAGATATTGGTACAAGGAGGCATCAAATACATATGCGCCACATAAGTCTCATTTGATTTGTGCGAGGGCTGTGATACTGCCCGGGTGCCCAAACCGAAGCAAGCAGTTTACTTAGGGGGCCACACCCGGAGCCTTCGACCTGAAGTTCTGATCCATATGGCAGGGGAGCATCGTAAGGAGATGTAGTCCCATGGAAGCCGATGACCAACGATTGGTTCATACGCCATTTGTTCCTTCAGGATACTGGAGCCCATGTGTACCATTAGTTTGGAATCAAGATTTTACAACTCCCCTATGTGCACTCCCCATATCCACCAGCCTGGTTAAAACGCCGGACACTCGATTTTCGTCCTCTCAATTTCGTAAAGAATAGTAATGCCACGAGAAGGTAGTGAGTAGGACTTCCCTGGCAGAGGCTATATACACGTGGCCATGTGAGAGTATTTGTAGAGGGAGAGCGGACTCTCCTCGCTCTCGGTCGTACCAGGGCATTTAGGGGACCTTCAAGTGGTCCGAAGTCTGCGACCCAATGTGTAAAAGTTTAGTCGTTTGATCACTGATCCACTTCTACGGTTCAATTCACACTTTTGTCAATAATCTAAAAAATTTTGGTTTGAACTAGTCTTGTGACTAAGATCTGTTTTCTGTTCAGTTATGTCAGTTTTATTCTGTGTCAAAATTACTTTTACACTCTGAATAAAAACTTTTTTCCAGTCTCAGTTAAGACCCATTTTTCGGGGAAGTTTGCTGACTTGATCGGATCATGAATATTACTTGCATTATTTTAGACTATCAATCAGTGATTTTTAAACAACAGTGAAGTAACGAGGTTTGGTTGGTGTTTTAGAAATCTAGTGCACTGAGTGTAGCAAGAAATTCTGTTATTTCCTTTAATCTGGTTTCAATGTCGAAAATACCCTGAAAAGTCTGAAACTAGCCAATTCTAACTCATTTAACCCCACTACGAAATTCTATGATCGAGTTTTTATATAATCCGTTCATAATTTCTGTGCACTAGGATGACTACTCAATGCGCTATTGGGATTGCTGTAAGGGTTTTCTCGATCCATGAACTTATTAACTTTTGAACTGATAGTTCCAAACTATCTGGTTGGGTTCCGCGTTAGAAGTTGATGAGCGAAATGGTTTAGAATCACTTGCAGTGATGTATGTGCCTTTTTTTTCTTTCTCGAAATCTTGATTTTCAATATTCTTTCATACATTCTTTACTCACTCTCTTTGTTGTTCATCGTGTTGATTTCATCTCTCTCTGTACTAGTATATTATGCCTAATTGTGGTAATGCATACTTTTTCCTGGATTGTATGCTGTCTATAGCTCCTTAAACAGGTTAACAACAACAGAAAAAAAGAAAATGGTTAATCGATTGATTTCACACACCTCCAATAAAATAATTTGTGTAACGAAAATCTCTGTAAATGTAGAAGACGATGGATAATGTAAGTTTCAGTTTCGAAGTAAAAGTTCAGTGATCAATCAAATGTCAACCTCATTTTACAACAATTATTGGACATTGAAAAGTTTCCTTTTTCTTTGAATTCGTGTTGAAATATATATATATCAATGGTCATTCAATGATACTTACAAATTTCGGTTCTATTTTACTGTTTAAAGGTTAACTGTAAATATGAACCAAAAATTGTTCATTTTATTTCAATGTATCAATCAATATTGAATAGAGTTTAAACCTAATAGAAAGTGGAATTAGATTAAAATTATGTTGAATTTCATCAGCCTTGGTAGATTAGTAATGGCTGATGAATTCTCAGCACAGATATTGAAAATCCATTCTCTTGTTCAATTGTACTATTAGTAATAAAAATACAAAATTCACTTGGTATTGTTTACTTGAATCTTTCCATTAATGTTTAGAACTGCGATTGATTAGTCTCTTATTGGTATATGTGCATCCTGTATGTATTACCTTAATTCAAAAGCATTATAATCAAAGATGAATGGTGGCTAGTAGTGGAATCCAGGACGCGCGTTTCGTCCTAATTGAGACTCGTCAGCTGAATATACCTGCATCCCAAAGTTGATGTTCACTCTGTATGACTGCAAAATATAATCTTCAAAAGTTGAGGACATATGTAC